TACTACTACTACTACTACTACTACTACTACTACCACGACCACGCATACGACGACTGCTACTACTACTACTACTACTACTACTACTACTACTACTACTACTACTACTACTACTACTACTGCGACTGCGACTGCGACTGCGACTGCGACTGCGACTGCGACTGCGACTGCGACTGCGACTGCGACTGCGACTGCGACTGCGACTGCTACTACTAAGACTACTACTACCACTTCTGCTGCTACTAGTACTCCTCTTCTTTGATGTCCAAAATTGTTCACCTACTTCTCGCTGTGCTGTTCCCGTCTTCTTCCTCTATTCGGAGCCCTGCCTTTGGAATTGGTATGGCGCGGGATCGATCCTAACCCAGCAGGCACTGCGACACAGTGACCTGTTCATCTATGCAGGGTGCTTATGCCTGCAGCGTCTCATTTACAGAAGCTGGGGTCAGATGCCCAGCCAAACGAAAATTTGCCTCCAATGAGGCGTTCGGCGTTTTTTTTGTTGGTGGCTGGCCGATCTCGGTCTCACTCCACCGTGTCCGGATCCAATCCCTTCCAAGCATACCGAGTTCCAGTATGCCTGCGCCAAGCTCCCAACTGGTAGGGTTTAGGGCCTAGGGTTGGTAGGGTTTAGGGTTTATAGGGGTTTGGGGTTTATAGAGCTTATAGGGCTTACGATAATAAGAGGATCCGCAAAGCTGCAATGAAACACACATGCGGTCCAAGTTGCAGAGCGTCGATGGCCTTCATTTCTGCGCCAGACCTGCAAAACTTCCACGAGTGCCCTAATATAGGGGCTTTAATAATTAGAATAGGGTTTTGGGGTCCATTATACTATAACCACAGTAACGAACCCCCCAAAAGAATATAGGTAATTATTTAAGCCCCTATATTACGCTGCAAGACTCGAAGAAGACTCCATAATAGCATTGCTGAGACCTGATGTTTGAGGGCTTCTCGTGCAGCACAAAGGATACATACTTCTGGGAAGCCCAAAACACATACATATGAACATCGATGGCATTTGGACGTATTTGCAGGGGGGGCGGGTGTCCGGGGTGCGGGGCGGGATGCTGATGAAGGCACCCAAAGACTTCACGAGGAAAGCTCTGCAAATTCCAGCAAACTTCGTCAGAATCAAGACATATACTAGTACCACCTAGGCCCTACAACGCCATCAACCCTGCAACCTCTACCGCCCTCAAACCCTCAACCCTGAACCTCAAACCCACAAGCACCGAACTCAACCTGTACGGCCTCTGAGGCCCTCCAATTTCCCACAGAACACGAAGCCCGAAACCAACAACAAACCCTAGAGACCCCTGAAACACAACAAAACTGCACTAAACCAACTACGAAACCCTTAAGCAAATACTATAAACCCTGAAAAAGCTATTTATCCTTCTATCTACCTATCTATCTATTTATCTATTTGTTTATGTATCTATCTATCTACCTATCTACCTATCTACCCATCTACCTATCTACCTACCATCCATCCATCCATCCTTCCATCCATCCATCCATCTATCTATCTACCTATCCACAAACCTATCTATAGATAGATAGATCGACCGATACGTAGGTCACATGTAGATCTCTCTCTCTCTCTATATATATATATATACAGATATACATATTACACAAAAATATGAAAGGAACTGCGGAGAATCAGATTGAATCAGCCAGAAAGCAGCTTGAAGTTGAAGACACCCGCATTCTCCTTCATGCGCTCTGGACGCACCGACTTGGGTACCACGTGGCCTTGGTGTGGGCTTAGGGTTTAGGGTTTAGGGGCTACTATATTTGGGTTACGGTGTGGGGGTTTAGGGTTGAGGGGTTTAGGGCAGTTTAGGGTACTATACCTACTTGTCCAGCATCAAGGGGTATTAAAGGTTAACCTTTTGGAGTATATTGGGCTGACACAGGGATGATGTTCCGCCAAAAGGGTTAAAGGTTACCTACTCTACTACTCGGTATGAGCGGTATTATGAGGGTTACTTTTGTTAAGTCTTACGACTGAGTACTATAAAGGGTACTATAAGGGGCATGGTGCGGCTTACGCGCAGTATAACGGGTACTATCAGGCAAGGGTTGATCGAAACAATTGGTTACGAGAAGCAACACTGCTAAGGGTATACCGTAAGGCTTCCTCTGAGGACGCTAGACTATTGGGGTTTAGGGTTGATGGGGCTTGTGGGTTAAGGCTTTAGAAAAAAAGATAGTACAACACCGACAGTAAGATGACATATTGCACGCTAAGGTGACCCCGCAGAAAAAGTAAGTAAACTTGGTTTAGCAAGGTTGGCCCTGCAACATGACAAGTATTCGTAGGCAAGGTCCTCTTATGCCCAGTCAAACGAATTTGTTTATATCCCCACCTGTGGCCCAAAAGACATACCTGTTTAAGGAACTTTTTTCAGAAACCATACAGAGGAACCCTATAAAAATAGGTCTTCTCGGCTACAGGAACGGCCCACCCAGTTAGAGAAGCCGAGCGGCAGCCTTTCTGCATGGCCCATCGCAGCAGAACCTCCAAGCAATTCTGCAAGCAGACTTTAGGGGTGGTTGTGTTCAGGGTTTAGGATTTGATGTTTTCCCAGCGCGCCTGTTTATATGGGGTTTTAAGCTCCCTTCCCTGAACATGGAACAAAGGCCCAAAGCTTAGAGTCTTTGGTTTGGTGGTTCAACTCCTCTAAGAACCCCTGGACTGCCCCTAAACCCTAAACCCTAAACCCAAAGCCCTAAACCTTAAACCCTAAACCCTGAGCCCTAAGCCCTAAACCTTAAATCCTAAACCCTAAGCCCTAAGCCCTAAATCCTAAACCCTAAACCCTAAACCCTAAACCCTACCCGAAACTCTAAGGTTGAACCCATGGGCCCCTAGTATGGGCCCTTAACCCTGGGATCCCTATACACCTACTACATACCCTATATGCATTCTTAAGGGTCCCTAGAAAGGCCTAAGGGTGCCCATACATCCAACCTTAGAGAAGCTTTGGACTTTCGACCCTTAACACAAAACCTGGGGCCCTTAACCCTAGCAAACCTAACCCCGGAAACCACCCTCATAGGAACCCTTAGAGGATAAACCTCGGGCCTGAATCCCAGTAAGTTGAGGGTTCAAGCTTTTGTTTAGCACCTTTACATTCACATTCTTCCATCCACTATACAATAATTCTAAGGTATGGCCATCAAAGCACTACGGTACTGGACCCAAGTCCAAAACTTGATCAAGATACCTGCAGGCCCGAAACGCAAACCCTCATTATAACCCTTGAGAACGCGATCGATGCCACACCAAGATCTCAACCTTCAACGGTCAAAGAAGCCCCCTAACCGAACCCCCCAGTAGCACCCTACTCAAGTCCCCTACAAAAGCCCCAGTCCCTGAACCCTAGAAGTTCGAATGATCCCTAAACCCTCAACCATAAACCCTCAACCAAAAACCCTCAACACTCAACCCTAAACTCTCAAACGTAAACCCTGAACCGTCATCCATAAACCCTAAACCATAAACCATAAACCCTAAACCCTGAACCCTAAACCATAAACCCTAAACCCTAAGCCCTAAACCCTAAACCCTAAACCCTAAACCCTAAAACCCTGGACCCTCCCTGCTGCTTCGCCCCTTGTCCGCCTGGGCCCCGGTCTTGCCATGGGCCTTTGCAGCCGCTTTCACCGGCGGGAAGGAGAAGAAGGACTCGGCCTGACAAGAGGGTTTAGGGTTTAGGGTTTAGGGTTTAGGGTTTAGGGATTCGGGGCTTTGAAGGAGAAGAAGGACTCGGCCTGACAAGGAATTTGGGGGATTTAAGGGCTTTAGGGTTTAGGGCTTTAGGGCTTTAGGGTTTAGGGCTTTCGGATTTGGAGGACTCGGCCTGACAAGGCGTTCTAGGGGCTTAACGGGCTTTAGGGGTTTAGGGCTTTCGGATTTGGGGCATTAGGGTTTTAGGGCTTTAGGCTTTAGGGTCTTATGGTTTTAGGGCTTTTAGGGTTTTAGGGTTTAAGGCTTTAGGGCTTTAGGGTTTTAGGGTTTAGATTTAGGGTTTTAGGGCTGTAGGGTTTACGGTTTTAGGGTTGAGTTTAGGGGCTTTAGGGTTTTAGGGTTTAGGGTTTGGGGCTTTCGGGTTTTAGGGGCTTAGGGCTTTAGGGTTTAGGGCTTTAGGGTTTAGGGTTTCAGGGTTTAGGGTTTCAGGGTTTAGGATAATACTAATAATAATATTAGAAAATGGTCTTTTCGGCGCCTTGGCGAGCATACGAAATCAAGCCCATCCTGCCGTGCTATGGGCCACACTGTTGTGTGGTTCCGGCCAGTAGGTTGCTGGGGTGTGTTGACCCGGAACACCTCTCCCACTGTGTGGTCTCGGGTGGCCAGTGCAACCAGCGTTACGGATTTAGGGTTCGTGGCTTCGGGATTAGGGATAATATTTCTCGTTTGTTGTGTAGCAGGGCTTAGGTTTTGGGTTCAGCGCTTTGTAAGTTGTAGGGTTCTGGGTTTAGGGTTTAGGGTTCAAGGCTTGGGACTTTCTTAAGGCTCCCACGGGAGCTTCGAGGCTTTAAACTTGAGCAACATGTAGGGGCTTCCATAATCAGAATACGGTTTTTTGCGTCCACGAAAGAAAAACATACAACAACAATATGGGACCTTAAAGACAAACATTTATGCTTTACTTGTTCAGGCTACTGTGCTAGAAAGAAGTTCTAAGCTGCATAGCCGGCTTTCGATAGATTCGGTGTCCAAACTACAACTATGAATGGATAACTCAGGACTGGCGGCTTAATTAGGATCTAGGCGGTCGAGGCGTTATGTTTAGGTTTGCACAAATTGGTGTGACGATGCCTGGTTGTTTTCAGGCGTGACAACTACTGATCGCATGCTTCTAGCAGTTCGGCAACTACACAGGAAGAAGGAAGAGTAGGAACGACAAGTGATGATGACCACGGCGCTACTAGTGATGACGACCTTCAGCTCTTGCCAATTGTGGCGGCCACGAGCGCTACAGCTTTTGTCCCGTTTACTGTAGTTGCCATGATGCTCCCCAAATCCAACCCTAAACACAAGCACTTAAGGGTTCAGGGTTCAGGCCATGGGGCTTCTTCCGAAGTCAACTGCCCTTTTTTTCGAGGGCGCCTGGGACGCGTCGCCGGAGCCCAAGGATGCATAGGCCTGCAAAACGATGCCATGCTTCTGGCAGAACTCCTGGGCAAGACAAAGCGGATGTACGGAGGGGGATCTGAATAAAATTAGGCACTATACCCTAAACCCTAAACCACTATACCATGACGGTCCTGCTCTTCCGTGTCTAGTCACTAGGTTAGGAAGCCCATATACTACGGAGTCTTCTCTTAGAGCACTGTCTACCCGTGATCCTCTGAAATTCGGGGATCAGCACAGAGCCTTTCAGTGAAGTGGACTCAGGGTTCGGAAAACCCTAAACCCTAAACCCTAAAGCAAGAGCCTAAGCTCTCGACAAGACACTCTGAGGCTTCGTGGGCTTTGAGGTTCTGGGGTTCAACAAGACACACCTACGCGTAGGCTCCATTGTAATTCCTTCTTGGGGTTACCTTATAGTATCCTAAATATAAACCACGCAAAGGAACTATAATGGGGCCTATGGGTACATGTTACACCCTGAAACACAGTTCACTTTGGTTGATTCAGCGGTTTCTTCACCAGAACCATCGATTCGTGCCTGCAGTCTTGCATCGCCCGCAACCTTTTGCAAAGCCCAGGAGCACCCAGAGAACCCAATACCCCTAAAATGAGGAATAGACCTTAAAATATAGGGGCCTTGGTATTCTGATTTAAGGTATATTCCTTATTTAAGTGGTATTGGGCTGCAGTCGTAAATGGCAACATCAGGACGAAGCAACAGCAAGAGCAACAGCACCGAAAGCAGCAGCCATATCATGGTCGAGCATTTCGAACTGACAGCTCGGCCCCAAACCCTAAATCCTAAACCCTTGCTACCATGTGGCCAGCAGCTCTTTCTGAACAAGTCTAGGGTGGAACTCCACCTGGTTGATCATCGGCCTCATGGTCAGTCTCATGGGAACCTCTATACCCAAAGCCCTAATATAGAGTTTAGGATTTAGGGTTAGGGTTTAGGGTTACAACCCCTAAACCCTATTTTTTGGGGGTTTAGGGCTTAGGGTTAGGGTTTATAGGGTTTAAACCCTTACACCCTAAACTCTAAACGACGCTAAACCCCAAAGCTAGCAGCAACTTGCACGGTGCCCAGAGCCTGGGGTTACATAGTAGGGGTCCGTTTAGTTTAGGGTTTAGGGTTTTGGGTTTGGGGAAGGTTTATGGCTTAGCGGTACTTACATGTACTTACACCAAGGAGCACATTTGGACCATGCTTGATCTTAGGCCCAAGCTTTATCTTGCAGGTCTTCATCAGCTGCTTCAGATGTCGCAGAGAGTAGTTGGTGACGCCGATGGCCTGCCATCACTCCCTAAACCCAAAACCCCTAAACCCAAAACCCTAAACCCAAAACCCAAACCCCTAAACCAAAAACC